TATATATATAATATATTCATTTAAATGAATTAATTTCAAAAATGATCATTGTGTGCTTGTCGGACTTTCAATGCAATCAATCTGAAATATTAATAATCCTTTCAAATTTCCCAAATTTAATCTTAAAAAACTGTAATAAACTTATTGCGAAAAATATTGCCTTGACTGGGAATCGAACCCGGATCTCTTGCATTCCGTGCGAGCGTTCTAAGCCTTAGACTACCGAGACCATAGCAATATTCCTGGCAATAACCGATGTGTATAGAGAGTTACCGAGGGTTCAACTCCCGGCCGAGGCAATATTTTTCGCAATAAGTTTATTACAGTTTTTTAAGATTTAATTTGGGAAATTTGGAGAATTATTAATATTTCAGATTGATTACGTTGAAAGCTCGACAACCATATCGGTACGTAATTATCATTTCTAAAATTAATTCATTTAAATGAATATATGTAATGGTTCAACATCTTAACATTCAGACTGTAGTGGCGCTTCGTATTTGAAGTTATTTATTTTATTTGTTATTATTTGCTCATTACAATACTAAAATTTGAAAAGCATATAATGACAAAATTAATTTAAACTTTCTTTTGTATAAGTACTGTAAGTATTAAAAATGCAATTATAAGTTTTATTGACGACGCAAAATTAAATAAAATAAAAAAACAATTAATTGTTAAATAAAATAAGAAAACAATATATTTTGTTAATAATAACATAAATTGAAAGAAGAGCTGATGAGCCAAACTGGTTAATTACATAGTATGCTTGTAATTATAAATCTTTATATACAAAAATTTAAACAATGTCGAGAGATTCAACTTGAAATATTTTGTTTATTTACAAAACAATATACAGTATGTTTGATAAGAGCGTGTACGGCAAAACTCAAAAACTTAGGATAATACATAAATTGGAAAAATTTGTACACATTATGCATGATATAAACTGCGATGCTTTATTATTAATAAGTTGTCCAGTCGCCTCCATTATGATTAATTGATTGTCATCTCCGAGGCATACTTTCTACTAATTTTACAGCATAATCTTCAGACAACGATCTCCATACAAATCGAATCTGTCGAATTAACTGCTTGACGGTCCATATTTTCTTTCCTCGGAGCTTAAACTTTATAAGCACTCAAACATTTTCAATTGGATTTGCATCTGGCGACTGTGAAGGCCAATCCAGTACGTCAACGCCATTTTCTTGTTTCCACGCAGTACAAAGTCTACTCCGATGTTTCGGATCATTGTCCTCTTGCAGTAGCCAATTTTCATTTTTCTTCGTAAACCACCTTTGGGCAGATGGTAATAAAACTCTCTCATATATTTGGACCATTTTAGCAGCATCCAAATTTTGTGTAAAGATGTGTAAAGTGCCAAATCCCTGTTTTGAGAAACAGCCCCAGACGTGCACCTTTACCGGATGTTTAACGGTCCGCTCGATGAGTCTATTGGCCTGGGTAGCCCAGACACGTCTGATAGAAGACTTTGCCCAAAACGAAGCTTCATCTGAAAAAATTACGTTGTCCCAATAGCGGTCCAAATTTTCTTTTGCCCAAGCAAGTCTTTTTTCGACGTGTTTTTCAGACAGCAACGGTTTCGTTATCGTGCTTCGAAATTTCACTTTATGAGCCAGTAAACGTCTTTTTATAGTATCACATGATATTTTTAGACCCTTTTTAAATAAAACCGCTTGTCCGCCACGCAATGATAAACAAGGATTCTTCTCAAACACCCGTAAAATCATTTTGTCCTCCTTTTTCGTCGTTTTCTGCACAGAGCCACGATCCGGCAAGTCATCAACGTTTTTGACCTCGGAATAACGTTTCACTCACTTACACACAAACGCCTTAGACTTCTTCATATACTTAGCAGCCGCTCCGTACGACATTTTTGGTCCTTTCGGATGCGAACATAGAAACACAGCTTCGTAACGTGATGCGTACGCGGCACTCATGTTGAAATACGCCCTTTTGTGACAAAAGTCAAACGATAACTGAGGCTTTCTAGACAAAGCATCTTGGGAGAAGAGCCCCGCTATTGGCTCGCGTTCATATCCCCTCTCTAACGGTTTCGAAAAAAAAGTATTGCCGTACACGCTCTTATCAAACATACTGTAACCATGCAATTTCTGCATCTAAAGCTGAAACATTACTCTATCGAGTGATGTAAATGTCAATTTAAAAAAAAAGTAGAATATATATGCATTTTAGCTAAAAATATAATGTTACGTCCAAGCTCCGCGCGCATGCAGAGGGAGGTGCTTCGCTTCGTCCTAAGGCTCCTAACGAGCCGGGGATTGAACGGAGGACGAAGTGGAAACCTCTGCTTGTGCTCTGCTAAACGGACACACGAGTCGGACGTACGTTTAAAGGTCCCAAACTGGGTCAGTGCGCCAGTATGGTCGTATGCTCTGACTTTCGGTCATGGAACTTAATCCAAGTGACCGGAGAGAGGGCGAAGTGTAATCGCGGGAGAACTTAAGAATACGAGGAGAAGTTTTATTTGAATAAAGACTACGGAGAAGTTAATTTAATAATGATATAATAATAATAATAAATAAACTTGAGTGATACATCTTGAAAAAAAAAAATACAATTTTGTCGAATAAATTAAAAAATAATACAATTTTTGGTCCACAACTCTGAGTTATACATATGCTTTTATGAATGTGTGAGAGTGTGTGTGTGTGTGTGCGAGCGTGTGTGTGTAAAGCATCGTGGCAGAATGGAAGAGTTACGGAGAGAATAGCGAGAGGATAAAAAGAGAAGGAAGTTTTGGTGAGTGGATTTGAGAGGGTTTGGCCTAATTTTCCTCAGATGATGATAGTGTTAGCGGACACGAAGGACCGGTCGACAAGGGGCGAACAATTATCGTGCGGCGACGGCGACAGATTGAAATTATAACGTGAACGGACTGCAATGTTTCCATTTGCTTGTAGGAGGTCAAAAGGGAGAAAGAAAGAAAAGAATAAAAATAAAATAAAACAAATGAATAATAAAAAAAATGAAATGAAATATTGAAATAAATTACCAAAAGATAAAGCGAGGAGGGAGCCAGAGAATAGAGATATACTGACTTACTACTGAGATGCTTATCGTTGGAGATCCTCCAGCCAGGATGTGCAAGGCTGGTGTTTCTTTAACAC